AAGCAAAAAGAAGAAAGTGAAAGTCACCTTTGAACCCTCTAATTAGAGAAGATTGCTATTGAGACTGAATTGTATTCTTAAATTTCAGTTGACAGCATTTGCCTGTCCTTTTAAAACTTGGGAAAACACTCTATTCTTAACTTAATAATTGATTTCTCTAAAACTCAGTTTCCTTAATGAAATATCTAAAAGTTTAGTTTCACAAATCTAATATTTAATAATTTAGTATCACTAATATTTAAGACTTAGTACCCCTTCTGATGTTATAATCACTACACCAAGCAACTTTATTTCCGTTATTTTATTTAAATCTTACTAAACCTCGTAAGTTGGGAAATAATATATTCTCATTTTTCAGGTGAGTAAACTAAGGCTTAGAGAGGTTAAGTAATCTGTCCAAACAAGATCACAAAGGTAAGCAGTTTCAGAAAAGGGGTTCCATCCCAGTTGTCTGACTATAAAACTTATGCTCATACCATACTGCTATTGTTTTTCCCTCAAACTTTTTTTCATTATACTTTTTTTCATAAAAGCAAAATGTCATTTAAAAAAACTTTTATATTCAGAAAAGTCATCATATTCCAGTTATTAAAAGACCAACCTAATTTACCCATACCTCTGTACAATTCCTTTGAAAATTTTTTAAAGTTAATGTCTTCAGGCAAAACATTTAAGATCTAAAAGAAATATACATGAATAAAATTCTTTTCCTGCTGAAATAAAACAGTGGATGTTACCAGTGATTTGCCTCATTTTGAAACTGGAACTATCATCAGAGAGCCAATTTCCATTTATACAAAACTACATAATACTGTTTCTGATTATAATTTCTGTTATAGTTATAGTCAATTGTTACAGTTGAAAAACTAGATTTTTTAAAGCTAAATTTCCTGCTATTGTATAGTTTTATTATAATAAAATAAAGGGGTGGTTTGGGAAGAAAGAATGGAGAAAAAGATCATAGAATGTTAGGGTAGGAAAAAATTTAGAGGCCACCTAGACCATCCTCCACATTCAAGAGATGAGAAAACTAAGGCCCTAAGAGTTAAATATTTTCTATATCTCTTAAGCTGTCATAGTACACAAAGTATAAGATTCAAGGTATGTGAAAGTGATTTTCATTTGATAATTTAGACAGTCTTGCAAATATACTTAACTAATGTCTAAAACTGTATAGAGAAATGAAAAAAACCCAAATTTAAAAAACCCTGATACATAAAAGGTGCTCAATAAATATTTCTGAATGAACCAAAGAATATTTTATTGCTTTCATTTTTCAAATTCCCTCACAGTCCTTAAATTTCTATTTTATATGCAGTCATATACATATAATCTGTTACTTTGCTTTTTACACCTGAGTTATAGTGTCAACATTTTCCATGTTGTTATAAAATATGACTATAACCTTTTAAAGGACATATTATAATCCTTTATAATAAGTTATAACACTCTGAGTCAGATTTTAAAATGACTATAAGTAGAGGTGGATCAAGATTTGGGGGACCCTCATTAAGAAAAAAATACAAAAATATATTACTTTTTAAAAGTTTACAAGATAATGAAAATTTATCTAGCTTTTTCAAAAGACCATTTCCAGGGTGCCTCCAGGGCTTTGAACAATGAAGGGCCCTGAATCTTCATTAACTTCACTGTACATCTGCTTCTATTAATAACCAGACACCATCTTCATGGTGGTGAACTTCTACTAAAACTTTAGAAATGTATGTCAACATCACCCTTTGATAGTGTTAGAAGTTCTTTCTATCTCGCTGGACTTGGATTATCTTTCAGGCCCCACTATAAACTTAGTGGCTTTTATTTTATTTTTTGAGGGTCTTGCTCTGTTGCCTGGGCTAGAGTGTCATCGTAGTTTATTGCAACCTCAAACTCCTGGGCTCAAGCTATCCTCCTGCCTCAGCCTCCTGAGTTTCTGGGACTATAGGCATGTGCTACCACACCCAGCTAATTTTTCTATTGTTTGTATAGATGAGGTCTTGCTGTGTTGCTCAGGCTGATCTCAAATTCCTGGCCTCAGGCTATCCTCCAGTCTCAGTGTCCCAAAGTGCTAGAATTACAGGCATGAAGCCACCAAATTCAGCCTAAACTTAACTTCTTCAGCCCTCAAATTCCTCATTTGTAGAATGGGCTTAATATCTATCTTAAGGAATTACTAACAAAAATGAAGATAAAATACTTGGTATAGTCTTTGACACATAGTAAATGCCTAGTAAATATTAGCTATTATATCAATAGTTAAAATAACCTACCATACAGGGAACCTCCTGTCTCTCCATTATAACTTTGTACATTGACTATGGGTAAAATACTGTGTAAAATGAATTTCAAAGGATTGGACTGATTAAATTTTTTTTTATTATTTTCATTTTTTAAAATGTTTTTATTATAAAAAGTAATAACTATGTTACAGAATATTTGGAAAATAGAGAAAAGAAAAAAAGCACCTATAATTCCACCAGACTTATGCTGACTTTCCTTCTTGTGTTTTTTTTCCTTAATGCAGATTCTATTTTATAAAACTAATGCTTGAAATAAGCAGACCTAATTATTTTCCTTTCACAGAAGTTTGGTATTCTGGCATTATTATACTAAAATATTTCAAATGCATGGCAAATCTCAAGTATGTTTTATATAAAACTACTTTGGAAAAATCAAGTAGAAGAAAAAAGGTACATGTTTTACTGTTGTATTTCCTTTATATTACTAATTCATGTTTTTCAAGGTTATGTACATGAATTTAATAGTCTGCATTTTTTTCTTGCATTATATCACAAGCCTTTATACTATTATGTACTATTAAGGCAACATTCATTATAACTAGAGCATCTGAGGCCAGGTGAGGTGGCTCACACCTGTAACACTAGCACTCTGGGAGGCCGAGGTGGAGGATCTCTTGAGCTCAAGAATTCAAGACCACCCTGAGCAAGAGCGAGACCCTGTCTTTACTAAAAAAAAAATAGAAAAAATTAGCTGGGCGGGGTGGTACATGCCTGTAGTCCCAGCTACTCAGGAGGCTGAGGCAGGAGGATCCTTTGAACCTAGGATTTTGAGGTTGCTGTCAGCTAGGCTGATGCCACAGCACTGGCCCAGGCAATATAGTGAGACTCTGTCTCAAAAAAAAAAAAGCAACTAAAGCATCTGAGATCAAGACTTAGTTTCCTAAATTTGGTACAACCAACCGTAGGTGAAGAAAGGCAGGTTAAAGTATAATAAATCAGAAACTCAGAGTGAGTACTTTTGGTTTGCCTACAACTATAATGCAGAAAATACAGAGAGAAGTCACAACTCAGAAAATCTAGCCTTTGAACTAAATGTCTAAGTTAGCAAAAAGAAAAGTATTATCAACATAATCCTAAATTCTATACATGCTTTTATTTCTTCTGTAATTATAGATAGGAAAGTGGTGGAATACTATTCAATGGCAAAGACTTATTTATCATATGATATTAGAGTTTTAACTCTCAAAATTGAGTAAATGAATTCCCCAAATGGGTCTTTCTTTAACATTTAGCAAGGCAAAGCAAATTCTCACTTTATACAACAACAGGTCAAGGTCCAGTCATAATTTTCTGGATTCAGTGACATTTGTTGTTGGAAACAGGCCTCTAAGTTTTAAATATGCTCTTGCATTGACATTCATTAATTTCAGAGCACAGACTTTTTGCTTTTAAGCTTCTTTGTTTTAATGTTTTCCTGCTGTCGGAACTCAAGTAACATTTTAAAAATTGTAAAATATACATTGAGGAAATAATCTATATGTCCATTTCCTAGTGAATACAAATGTGGTATGTACAATGGAATATCATTCAGCCTTAAAAAAGAAGGAAATTCTGATAACACTAACTTGAAGACATTACACTAAGTGAAATAAGCCAGTTGCAAAAAGACAAATGCTGTACAATTCTACTTATATGAGGTACCTAGAATAGTTAAGTTCACAGAGACAGAAAATAGATAGTGGTTATCGGGGGATGGGAGGGGAAAGGAAAGGGAGTTATTGTTCATTAGGTATGAAGTTTCAGTTTGGGAAGACGAAAGAGTTCTGGAGATGGATGATGGTGATGTTTGTACAACGATGTGAATGAATATACTTAATGCCCCTGAGCTATACATTTAAAAATGGTTAAGATGGTAAATTTTACATTATGAATATTTTATCAAATTTTAAAAAATCCCTCCAATATAACATACATTGAGAAAAGTGCATTATACCAGTACGTCCAGTTTAACAAATAATTATAAAGCAAATATATGTGTAATCGCCACCTGGCCCAAGAAATAAAATATTGTCAGAGGGTACCCCTGTGTCCCTCCCCATCACAACCCTCTTCTTCCTGATTAACCACTATCGTGGCTCTAACATTTGGTTTTAAAAAAAATCAAGATTGTGATGTGACAATGCAGGATAAGTTAAATCAACACTACAAAACACAACAAATTCTTTCTTTAAACTCCAGTATTTTCTAAAGATGCAAAAAAAAAAAAAAAAACCCTAATAACTTTTAAAGTGCTCTTTCCTCTCTTCCTATGCTCTTGAAACTCTTCAAATTCTAAAATCTATTGTGGTCCCACAGTTGACCTCACCTGCAGAGTTTAATTTAAAAGAAAAAAATCTTCAGTGTAGATTTTCATTCCTCCCGCTCTCTCTCGCCTCCAACTACAAAGAAACAATGATTTAAACCCTTTGTGCCCTTTTAGAAAATTACACAGATACCCCATTGTGGAACCCTATAATCCCTTCGTGGAAAGGAAGAGATTAGCATATGAATACAAAGCAAAATGAATCCAGAATACAAAATGATCTACTGGATTGTGAAGCTCTTGTAGTCTTAAAAATGTATTTATTTCCTCTTTTTGTATTGCCCCTTTAGTGGTCCGGGTTAAGGGAACTGAGCTTCCCCTCTGGTTACCCGGAAAAGGATTAAAAAAAAAAAAGCCACCAGATTCTAGGAGGTGCAAACCCAACATATGGCTCCCAGCGCCAGTGGAAGCGCCAGTGGAATCTGCTACACTCGACATGAGCTTGCTTGCCGGCGAGGAGTGTAGAAAGTGCTGTTCGCAGACTGCGTGGTAAAGGAGAGAAAGCGACAGAGGAGAGAGCCATAGTGCTGACGTTGAAGGCCCGGCCCTGTGAGGTTGCACAGGGTAAGTGGCGCTGGCCAGGAGGCAGTGGCGAAGGGGAAGGAAAGAGGATTTGGACTAGGGGCGGGGCTTGCGGCACAGCGTGGCTCCTGATTGCTGGAGCGCGGCTGCCAATCTCGCAGAATCGCTCGGTTAACCAGTGCGCTGGCGAGACGCGCTCAGATATACTGAGTGAGCCCTGAGAAGCAGCCTCAGATCCTGACGGTGCAGCAACTCGCAGCCTCAGCCAGGGAGTCCCAGCCGCTTTCAATGGAGGAGAAGCCCGGCCAGCCACAGCCTCAGCACCATCACAGCCATCACCATCCGCACCATCACCCCCAGCAGCAGCAGCAGCAGCCGCACCACCACCACCATTATTATTTCTACAACCACAACCATCACCACCACCACCATCACCAGCAGCCTCACCAGTACCTGCAGCATGGAGCTGAGGGCAGCCCCAAGGCCCAGCCAAAGCCGCTGAAACATGAGCAGAAACACACCCTCCAGCAGCACCAGGAAACGCCGAAGAAGAAAACAGGTCCGGGAGGGAGGACGGGTGGGGGAAGGGGATTGGAGGTGGGGGACAGGGGAGATGGGGGTGGGGCTGGATCGGAAAGGCGCGGACGGGGTCGGGATGCATTTATGTGTCCTCCGGATCTGGGGGTGTCCCCTTTCGTTTTCTCAAAGCTCGGGCTGGTCAGTGGGGTTCGCAGCGCTCCTTCCTTTCAGTACGGGAGAGGCCCAGCCAGGGCAGCGTGATCTTCCCGGCCCCCGCCCCGGCTGAGGGAGACCCGCAGGGTCGGCCTTGGAAGTCCAACCTTATTATTCTTTTCCCGGTCACCTAACTGCAGCCTTGGAGTTATCTTAACCTGGCGGGGCCCTGAGATGGGGTGAACCTACCCCCCCCAAAAAAAGATCCCTCGAGGTGTAACTCAGGAAGGCCTAGCGAATCCTGACTGGGGTGGTGTCGCGAGACCCTTTTGCAGGCGGCGAGGAGTGGGTAGGTGGGCTGAGTTGAGGAAGTGTACCTCACTCGCCACCCCAAGCCCACCTGTGGCCTTGGGGTTCCCCGTTTTGGGGGGGCTGTTGAGACCCCTCGCCTCACGGGTCATTTCCACCCCTAAACGCCTTTTTTGGACTCCAGACCCCGCAGTCTTTCCCCGTGGCTCCTCCCGCGGCCGGCGCCCCGGGCCCGCTCCCCCTAGAGCCGGCGCGGCTGGAATGTTCTCTCCTCCTCGCGGGGCCGCTTCCTGTCCGCCATGTTGGAAGCCGATTCCTGTCACCGACTCCGGCCCACTGAGGAGCGGAGGGGGAAGGGTGTCGAGGGGCACAAGGCGCAACGGAGCCGGGTGACCCGGGATCCCCACCGGCCGTCGCCTCGCTCCCCGCACTGCGGGGGCGCCGCCGCCCCCCGCCCCGTTGCCGCCCCTCCCCCCGTCGCCGGCCGGGGTTGTGTAACCCGGTGGCGGCCGCGCGGCCCCGGGCGGGTCCCTGGGGTGAGGGGCGGGGGCGGTTGGGGTGGGGGAGGGAAGCGGCCACGAGGGGAGCGGCCTGCGCCGGGCCTCGCGCGCCGGCGGCCGCGTTTCCCGCTCCCGGGTGCGGCGGGAGGCGCGGGCGGTCGGGGCGGGCAGCCGGCCTCGAAGCCGAGCTGAGGGGGAAGGAGGCCGCGGGCGGCGGCCGCGGCGCTCCTCCGGACAGGAGGGCTGGGGGGGCGGCGGGGGGATTCGTTTTGGGTAGAGGCGGTGCCTGAGGCCGGGTGGGGTACCCAGCGGGAACCAAGCTCCCCGGTCACGAGTTTCTCTGCCACAGGAACCTCGTCTCCTGCCAGGTTCGCTCACGACTCCGCCTCTGAGCCTTTCACTTGGGCCCTTTCCTTCTAGCGGCTCATTTTCTACCAAAAAACCCACAAACTTATTCTATCCTCCTGCCCACCCAACACTTACCTCCTGAGGGTGGGTAGTGTCTTTGAGTTGGGGGATTAAAAAAAATGTTTGGACGGGAAAAGGGCGAGTTTTTTGACCCCTCTTTCTTGTTCTTAAGGGTGAACCGAAGTGGCTTATCCATGAGGTTAGATCACTACCATCTTGCCTCGGAAGAGGCTGTTTTTCATGTTAAAGGGAAAGGTGTTTTTCACATTTTAAAACCTATTGATCCCAAGACTAATTTTAACAAATGTTAAATTGAGGGTGAAAGTCATATTAGAAAATATGTGAGAAGAAATGAGCTTAAAAGTTGATAACAAAGCAGATTTCAAAAAATAGGGATTCTTTATAAATTTAAGAGATATGAAGAGTATGGTAAGAAACTGAATGCTAAACCGAGCATATCATATTTGATACAAGCAGTTATTGAGAGTTGGAAAGTAACTACTTTTCTGTTGCAGACTTAATGTAACTTGAAGACTGAAATTGGAGTGTCAGATTTTCCATTTTGGGGGCTAGTGGGGACCGATGGTATGCATTGGAAGGGAACACATAACATGCATTTGAAGTGTTTAATCCTAAGGATTTGGAGCAGTTTAAAAACTGTTAGGAACTATACAACTAAATCTTTTAACATGAGATCATTTTCAAAAGATGAGGAAGTATTACTATTGCTTGGAATATAAGGCAATATTACTGTTCAGATTGAAAAATTGTATTTTGTTGGTAAGCTTAATATACTTCTGCAGGACTTCTCTGCATATAAAAGCAGCCCCTGAACTCTTCAAGGTGGCATTACTGAAAGTATGTCTTATCCTGGAAAGGGATTCAAAGAGGAAACTGGGCTTAGCAATTTTGATAGAATGTAAACAATTTGGGATGAACAGTTTTTCATGTGTGGCCTGGTCACAGTGCTGTTGTTTCCACATGGGAAATGCTAATAAACAGGAATAACTTAGTATTTTCGAAATGTATTTGTAATATGTTGATATTTATGGCCCATTGCCCACAAACCTATAAGGAGGGACGATTTTTATTTAACCAGAAGAGGGCGCAAGAGAAGGCCAAATGTGTTGAGTAATTTCAATTTCTAATCCAAAAGCTAGATTTATCAGGACTCAAGTTTTGCTGAGTCTATTTGAAGTAGGGCTAGCCTGGCAGCCCTAAATAGTAAAAACACTAGGTAGTCTTTAATTTCTTTCATTCTATAATGTTTACATTCTTAAATACTAAGCTTTAAAAAGAAAATGTCTCTGGCATACTTTTTATATACCAACAAGGTTGTCATGGAGAAGTTTTATGTAGCTAAATGAGAACAACTTTTTGTTATTAAATATTGGAGGTGGGAGTATAGTGGCTTCTGAGCTGTTTTTATTGGTTGGTGATTTCTGATGTCTGAGCCATTTAATATTAGTAATCTTAGGAAAAATTCTAGTCCACTTAAAAGATTTTGCTTTGGTTCAACTTAGTTTGGATGTTGGATTTTTAAAATTTATTTATTTATTTTTTTGCTCTTTGAGATTGCTTACCTTTAATTGAGATCTGAAAAGGTACGACTAATGGGTCCAAGGATACAGACCTTTGTTTAACCTGTATGTTAAATGGTATGGATAGTTCTTGTCTTTGATCCAGAGTTACAAAAGGGTAAAGTTACATCTGTTATAAATGTTAGCTGGGTGCACCTGTAGTCCCAGCTACTCTGGAAGTTGAGGCAGGAGGATCATTTGAGCCCAGGAGTTCAAGACCAGCCTGAGCAACATAGACTTTGTTTCAAAAAACACACACACCCCCGCAAAGTTGAGAGCCTCTATTTATTTAGGAGCTTTCTGCTTTTCTGAAGAAAAAAGAACTTTTTAGAAACATCTTAAGCAGTGACCTCTTTATTCCTGTTTAATAGTTAGAATTTTTCTATTAAAATTTTGATTTGTTTCGCTATCATAGCTTTTCTAGCAGTCAAGAAATGAAAATGTAACTTTAAGTGTTTCTACCTATTTCTCTGATGTAGAGAGACTTAAAATTATAGTAATCCCTGTTGTAAATCTTCTTAGACTGTTTTATTCCACATCAAGTTATTTTGGAACAATGGTTTTCAAACTTAAAAAAACGTATCTTCTGTATTCTTAAAATTGAGGACCTCCAAAGAGCTTTTGATGTAGGTTATGTGTATTGATATTTACCATATAGGACATTAAAACTGAGAAAATTGCCAGAAAATAGTATACAGACTCATGGCACTTAACCTTCACAGGCCGAAGGCCTAAAAGAATGAATGAAAGTAATAAAGGCAAATAACTTAGTATTCCTATTGGGCCTCCACCCCTACTCCCCCAAAAAGCTGTTTTAAATGAATGTGTATGTGTATATCCTTCTGTTATGTGTTTCTAATGACTTGGCTTCAGTATGCTTTTGTGAACATTTCATGGAATATTAATAGATAACTAATACCACTTTTACTAGTAAGGCAATGGGAAAAGTTGATGATGTAATTGAATCACCTATAGTATTAGAGTTAACTTTATGGTGGTTGAAGGTCTTTAATTAAACTCAAGTACCATAATGTTTTTTAAATTAGGTTCTTTTCATTGTAGCTTTGTTAGTAAATATTTTCTCACTGCCTCTTTTGAGTAGGCACTGTTGCCTACTAATAGGAAACCATGGATTCCAGAGAGACTGGAGTTTGATTTCCAGTTTTGCTACTTTGTGTTTTGGGCAAGTTACTTCATCTTTCTGAAAGTCTGTTTACCCAAAAGACAAATGAGGAAAATATTTTTTATAAGGGATAGAAACACTGATACATAGATATTTTGATTTCGTGTATTAATAGTATGATCTAATGTCTGGGCAGTGGTCAAAGTGAAAAGGTTCACAGTGTTAGATTTTTTTTTTTTTTTTTTTAAGAGCAGGATCTCATTATGTTTCCCAGGCCAGAGTACATTGACTGTTCACAGGCATGATCATAGTACACTTACAGCCTCAAACTCCTGAGGTTAACTGACTCCTCCCTCAACCTCCTGAGTAGCTGGGACTACAAGTGTGTACCTTTACACCTGGTTTGGTTGATTTTTTAAATTGTATTTTCTATCTGATAGATGCACTAGAAACTGCTTAGGGTTACCTACCCCCAGCCATTTATGGTTTCATAGAAATGAAGTCTTTAATTTCCTTCTAATAATTACTGTCTCAGTAAAACTGGATTCTTGCTCTGCTTTGAATTGTAAGGAAAATTTTATAACAGTTTTGTGAGACTGATAGGTAGGTTGAATATGTTAGATGAGAGGTATTATGACACTGCTTAAAAGATCATGTTCTTGCTGACCTCAGACTTTGGTTTGAATCATGGCTCAGATTTGTTTAGGAGTAGATTTCATTTCATAATCTGTAAAATGGAGCTCACAAGTGTTTTCTCATAGAGATGTGGAATAATAATATATAAAGCTGTAGTTCATAGCATAGTGTTTAGCATACATGAAATAAACAGTCCTTAAATATTAGGCACTACTGTAATTTACATGTTGTGATTTTTAAAACCCTTTTTTTTTTTTTCTTTCTCCCTAGGCTATGGTGAACTAAATGGCAATGCTGGAGAAAGAGAAATATCTTTAAAGAGTCTGGGTTCTGATGAAGCTACCAGCCCTATTTCCAGGGTCCTCAATGGCAACCAGCAAGTTGTAGACACTAGCCTAAAACAGACTGTAAAGGCCAGCACCTTTGGGAAAGCAGGAATTAAAACCAAGAATTTCATTCAGAAAAACAGTATGGACAAAAAGAATGGGAAGTCTTATGAAAATAAATCTGGAGAGAGCCAGTCTGTAGATAAGACCGATACTGTAGCAATTCCAAATGGTGTTGTAACAAATAATTCTGGCTATATTACTAATGGTTATATGGGTAAAGGAGTAGATAATGATGGTAGTGGATCTGAGAGCGGATATACCACTCCTAAAAAAAGGAAAGCTAGGCGCAATAGTGCCAAGGGTTGTGAAAACCTTAATTTAGTGCAGGACAAAATAATGCAGCAAGAGACCAGTGTCCCAACGTTAAAACAAGGACTTGAAACTTTCAAGCCTGACTATAGTGAACAAAAGGGAAATCGAGTAGATGGTTCAAAGCCCATTTGGAAGTATGAAACGGGGCCTGGAGGAACAAGTCGAGGAAAACCTGCTGTGGGAGATATGTTTCGGAAAAGCTCAGATATTAAACCCGGTGTGAGCAGCAAAAAGTTTGATGATAGACCCAAAGGAAAGCATGCTTCAGCTGTTGCCTCCAAAGAGGATTCATGGACACTATTTAAACCACCTCCAGTTTTTCCAGTGGACAATAGCAGTGCTAAAATAGTTCCTAAAATAAGTTATGCAAGCAAAGTTAAGGAAAACCTCAACAAAACCATCCAGAACTCTTCTGTGTCACCATCTTCATCTTCATCCTCTTCATCATCTACTGGGGAAACTCAGACCCAATCTTCAAGTCGGTTATCCCAGGTTCCTATGTCGGCGCTGAAATCTGTTACTTCTGCCAGCTTTTCTAATGGGCCTGTTTTAGCAGGGACTGATGCAAGTGTATATCCTCCAGGGGGTCAGCCACTGCTAACTACTGCTGCTAATACTCTAACACCCATCTCTTCTGGGACTGATTCAGTTCTCCAGGACATGAGTCTAACTTCAGCAGCTGTTGAACAAATTAAGTCTAGCCTTTTTATCTACCCTTCAAATATGCAAACTGTGCTGTTAAGCACAGCACAAGTGGATCTGCCCTCTCAGACAGATCAGCAAAACCTGGGGGATATCTTCCAGAATCAGTGGGGTTTATCATTTATAAATGAGCCTAGTGCTGGCCCTGAGACTGTTATTGGGAAGTCATCAGATCATAAAGTGATGGAGGTAACATTTCAAGGAGAATATCCTGCGGCTTTGGTTTCACAGGGTGCCGAAATAATCCCCTCAGGAACTGAGCATCCTGTGTTTCCCAAGGCTTATGAGCTGGAGAAACGGACTAGTCCTCAAGTTCTGGGTAGCATTCTAAAATCTGGGACTACTAATGAGAGTGGAGCCTTATCTTTGGAATCCAGTCATATAGGTGACCTGCAAAAAGCAGACACCAGTAGTCAAGGTGCTTTAGTGTTTCTTTCAAAGGACTACGAGATAGAAAATCAAAATCCTCTGGCCTCTCCTACGAACACTTTGTTAGGCTCCGCCAAAGAACAGAGATACCAGAGAGGCCTAGAAAGAAATGATAGCTGGGGTTCTTTTGACCTGAGGGCTGCTATTGTATATCACACTAAAGGTAACTATACAAAGATTTTTATTAGCTAATTTAATATGTATGTATTAGTAGTTTGTATTAAGAGTTAATAGTTCAGAGCTTACTTGAGAGTGACAATGTGGATAAGCAGCTACCATCAAATTCTAATTTGGGGTCTTTGGAAATAGTATGAGTAAAGTTTAAAAGAAATGTTCATCTTTCCAACTTAAAAGCATTTCTTAAAAATATTGGCCGGGTGTGGTGGCTCATGCCTATAATCCTAGCACTTTGGGAGGCCAAGGCGGGCGGATTGCTCAAGGTCAGGAGTTCGAAACCAGCCCGAGCGAGACCCCGTCTCTACCAAAAATAGAAATAAATTAATTGACCAACTAAAAATATATATACAAAAAATTAGCCGGGCATGGTGGCGCATGCCTGTAGTCCCAGCTACTCGGGAGGCTGAGGCAGTAGGGATCGCTGAGCCCCGGAAATTGAGGTTGCTGTGAGCCAGGCTGACGCCATGGCACTCACTCTAGCCTGGGCAACAAAGTGAGACTCTGTCTCAAAAAAAAAAAACAATAAGGCCGGGCGCAGTGGCTCACGCCTGTAATCCTAGCACTCTGGGAGGCCGAGGCAGGCGGATTACTCGAGGTCAGTTCGAAACCAGCCTGAGCAAGAGTGAGACCCCATCTCTACTATAAATAAAAAGAAATTAATTGGCCAACTGATATATATATAGAAAAAACTAGCCGGGCATGGTGGCGCATGTCTGTAGTTGCAGCTACTTGAGAGGCTGAGGCAGAAGGATTGCTTGAGCCCAGGAGTTTGAGGTTGCTGTGAGCCAGGCTGATGCCATGGCACTCACTCTAGCCTGGGCAACAAAGTAAGACTCTGTCCCAAAAATAATATATATATATATGTATATGTATATAGACAAATAAAATGGACCTACCTGGTTCAGAGAATAAAAGAGGTTGGAGTGGGGGGCTTGGCTAACGGTATGATGTTACAGTTTCTCTTGGGCACACTTAAGAATTTTTTGCTTAGATGTTTCTTCTTTGCTTTCTATATCATAATCCTTATTAGTGAGCTCATTTAATGGTTCTAATTTGCTTAAAATGAGTAGGAGCAGTGTTTCTGAGGAGGAGTCTGAAAAAGATGGAGTGTCAAACTTTTTTCTCTTAAAAGAAATAATAATCGGTGCCGAGTGGTAACTAGAAAATAATTTAGACAAATGATGATATCGAGCATGATTTAGCATAGTAGAGACCACGCTCTAAATGGGTTTGTACTTTTCATAGCCCCAAAGCCCATGTTTAAGGAAAACCAGCTATCTTCCATGTTAAGTTCCATGCTAGTTGGTTTATTTTTAAGAAAAATTTGCTGTATAGCATAATTGTAATTTAAATCATTAGTGCAAACAATGAGGTTTAATGAATGATATTTATGACTTTTTGCTTTTTAGAACAGTGGTTTTCAGTCTTCCCACCCTATCCACCTCCCTCTCCCCTCCTTCCCTAACAGTTCCATACTCCATTCATGCATAAAAACACGTACTATATACTGCACATTCCCATGTTTAAAAGTGGCTTAGGCAATGACTTGCAACTGCAGGGAAGGGGGAGCATATCAGATTGTGGGAATGAGGTAATTACCATATTCTCCCTGGAAGAAATCATAACCTTAGAGATAAATAACAAAGCTTGTGACTTTTAAGCTAATTTCCTAGTCTACGTACCTTTCCTTATCTGCAAACTGAAAGACATTTAGTACAATAAACATGTCATTTTTATATCATTTTTCCTTCCTTTAAAAATAGGAGTAAATAGAATTGCCTTATAGAAGTTTAAGAATAGGAATCCTGCAGATAAAATTTGCCTGTTTTCACTTATTCTGCAGCTCTGCTTTTTGGAAGTAAATAGAGAAACTAGAATTTTTAGCAAAATTAAGGCAAAAAAGAAATGCTTAGTTTCTTTTTATTTTTTTAGACAGAGTCTCACTCTGTTGCAGGAGCTAGAGTGCTGTGGCATCAGCCTAGCTCATAGCAACCTCCAACTCCTGGGCTCAAGTGATCCTCCTGCTTCAGCCTCCTGAATAGCTGGGACTACAGGCATGCGCCACCATGCACAGCTATTTTTTCTAATATTTTTAGTTGGGCAATTAATTGCTATTTTTAGTAGAGACGGCGTCTTGCTCTTGCTGATTTCGAACTCCTGACCTTGAGCAATCCTCCCACCTCGGCCTCACAGAGTGAGGCATGAGCCACCACGCCCAGCCGAAATGCTTAGTTTCTTTCTTTTTTTTTTTTTATTTCAGCATATTATGGGGGTACAAATTTTAAGGTTTCAGTAAATGCCCTTTCTCCCCCCTCCCCCCACAAGTCTGAGTTTCCAGCATGACCATCCCCCAGATGGTGCACATCTCCCTCATTATGTATATATATACCCTCCCCCCTCCCACCTGCCCAATACCCTATTACTGTAGTACCTATGTGTCCACTTAGGTGCTGCTCAGTTAATACTAGTTTGCTGGTGAGCGAAATGCTTAGTTTCTTAAGACATGGTTAATTATATAAACGTTAACTTCTGCCAGAGAGTTGGGTGTTTTTTTCTTTTCTTTTTTTTTTTTATATTCAGCTAAACAGACCAAGATTTGATGTCATTTTCTGTTCCATCTGCCCTCCAGAGACTATTATTTAGAAATGTTTACCAAAGTGTCTTGTCATTTTATGAGCCTTGTGTAATGTTTTCTCACCACCTCCAGAAAATTGCCAGATATATTGTTTCATTAGGCGGTTGGTAGATGTTTTCCTGTATGATTTCTATTATGTAGAATTGCAGGCCTTTTAAAATGGGGATATTCACTTAAGTTTTTTTCCTAGTTTTTATGCATTTACCATATAGATGGGCTAACTAAAAATAAAATCAACATTATTTAGATAAATACCCCTACATGGATGCAGTTGTGTTTAGTTGGTGTTACTGAATAGATTTGCTTTAGTAAAGTGCATCAGCTTGAGTTTTATAGTTGGATATTGTTGAAATTAATCAGATTGGTGTTGTGATTGGTTCCTCTCCAAAAAACAATAGATAATATTCAGTTTGATTAGGACCCAGAGTGGCAAGTTCTTTGAATTCTTTCCAAATGTTGATGGGTCCATTAGCCCACTCATTTTCTCTTTACTTGCATTTGTTTTGAATCACAACCTTTTGAAGATCTGAAGATCTTTTTTTAAAAGTGAAGGATCCTTCCCTTCCAACCCTAAGTTTTCTTAAACACTACAAGAGGTAATAATCAGTTGGACTTGCTGAAATATCCTTTAAGAGCACCTGTATTATTTCCTTAGTCCATTAGTGTAGTCTTATCTTTAAAATGAGTTGAAGTTAGACTTAGAATTAGAACTTGTGCATTTCTCCTAACTTCAAAAATAAGCCCTTCAACAGCTTAATTTGGAGATAGAAGGTAAGAGGGTGCATTATGTCACTTAAGTAGGAATGGCACATTATTTTACTTTCTTGGTTATAAATCCATGTAAAGAAAAGATGCTTATTTGGCTTATGGTTTCGAAGGCTGGTTTCAAAGGCTTATGGTTTGTTTCGAAGGTCCAACGGGTAACTTCTGGTAAAAGCTTTCATACTCAAAAGTTTTTAGATTTTTTTTTTTTTTTTTTTGAGACACAGTCTCGCTTTGTTGCCCAGGCTAGAGTGAGTGCCATGGCGTCAGCCTCGCTCACAGCAACCTCAATCTCCTGGGCTCAAGCAATCCTACTGCCTCAGCCTCCCGAGTAGCTGGAAATACAGGCATGTGCCACCATGCCCGGCTAATTTTTTCTATATATATTAGTTGGCCAATTAATTTCTTTCTATTTATAGTAGAGACGGGGTCTCGCTCTTGCTCAGGCTGGTTTCGAACTCCTGACCTCGAGCAATCCACCCGCCTCGGCCTCCCAGAGTGGTAGGATTACAGGCGTGAGCCACCACGCCCGGCAAAAGTTTTTAGATTAAACCTAAACAATTACTTGCAGGTTTAGCAATACTGCAGATATTTTAGGGCACAATGGTTCTTGCCTGTAATCCGAGCACTTTGGTGAGCTGAGACAGGAGGATCGCTTGAGGCCAGGAGTTCAAGACCAGCCTGAGCAACGTAGTGAGATTCTGTCTCTACAAAAAATAGAAAAATTAGCTGGGTGTCCTGGTGTGTACCTGTAGTCCCAGTTACTCAGGAGGCAGAGACAGAGGATCACTTGAGCCTAGGAGTTTGAGGTTGCAATGAGCTATGATCATGCCACTGCCCTCATGTCCTGGGAACAAAGCGAGACCCTGTCTCCCTCCAAAAGTTAATCTTGAATGTTCAGGACAATTGAGTGTATGAAATGAAGATAAAGCGTAAAAAAGGAATTTGTGGGAATTCTAGTTCTTGGGATTTTTCTTCTAGCTTTTGGTATATGTTATGCTGCTACCTTTTCATAATAAATAAAACCTGATCTTTATGTTATCTGGAGGAATATTGTACCGTTACACAGCAGTGTGAGTAGAAAGTAGGTCCTCTTTCCTCATTCATCTCAAGTGGTAGTTATGAGGCAGCTTTAAAGTGATGTCTTTCAAACTTGATTATGAAAAAACTTTTTTTTTTTTGTAAACAAGATCTCACTGTGTTGTCTGGTCTAGAATGCAGTGGCATCATCATAGCTTGCTGCAACCTCAAACTCCTGGGCTAAAGCAATCCTCCCTCCTCAGCCTCCTTGAGTAGCTGAAATTACAGGCATGTGCCACTATGCCCAGCTAATTTTTCTTTTTCTATTTAAATGTGGAGCCAGTAATATAGTGAATCCCAATGTACGCATCATCCAGCTTGAGCATTTCAAAAGCATTCTTACTCTTATTTCACCTACCCATCTCTACATTAACACCTCCTTTTTTTTATTATGGTAAAATATAGAAAGCATAAAGTTTATTATCTTAACCATTTTTAAGTGCATAGTTCAGTGGTCTTAAATAGTGGTGTGTAACTATCTCCAGAACTCTTCATCTTGTAAAACAAAC